TAAAATACTATTATAGAATATCATTATGCAGGCTAGAGTCTGTTAGAAGTTAATCTCACCGGTTGCAACAAGTGTTTGCTCCTATCGGCAACAAACTGACAGAAACGCAGGTCGTGGGAGCCGGGAAAAGCAGGCATCCCCTTCATCTGAGCGAGCGAACGAGCCACCAGGTCAGTGACGTCGGTCAGACGCGAACCAAGTTAGACGTTAGGCAAGCATTGAACAAGGAACATTGTTGTCTGTCACCAGTTGTGCTACTCTGACGCGACCCGGTACGACTCAACGGTTTTATTAGCCCAACTACGACTGTCGAGGCTTCCTTCCCGCGATTTTTACCTTTCTTTTCGACACCTCTTCTTACTTTGATCGCTGTCTCACGATTTTTCTTCACCGATCAAAGTACATATTAGTAAAAGAATCTTCGACACATACGCGCGACCTTCTACCTGTCTCTCTCTCTCTCTCTCTGTATTATCCTTGTCAAGAAACAAGCCTCGAAGTATTCGAACACGTGGACTATATACGATTGAAAGTTTTTTTTCATTTATCATGCAATGACGGCTTGTTGGAGTATACTTTGAGAAAGAGTGGATCCAGAAGGGGATGGGGCGCGGGTCGGGGCGGGTGTGAGGCCAATTTCATTACGACTGATAAATTCTAAAATTCTCAGTGACATCGTCTCTATCGTTTGTTTAGCGCAATCGATAGAATCTCGTCACTGAAAATCTCGCGACACACGGTCTACCGTTACCGATACAATGACTTTTCGCGGCGACTATTTTTCCGATGGGAAACGATCTTGAAAATAATAGCGAACGAATAAGCGATCAAAGTTATTGCTTGGTAGTTTTCTATCCGAACGATTCGAACCCAAACATTTCTGAAGTACACGATATATTGTGCCGTAAGAGCGGGTCAGATTACCAAAACACATCGATATGTACAGTTGGAGTAGAGAAGATCGGAAAGGTGAAATGTATCAGAAACATCTGGGTTAGGCCGGAGGAGGGACACGGCACGTGAGATTTCAATCAACAAACATACGATTCAACAGTGCTCGAGATTTAAATTGGCGAATCGCGAACTGCGCACAGTTCGACGCCGGTAATCAGTTTCGTGAATAACTTACCACGCTAGCTCCTCTTCCGCTTTGGCTCGCGATGCCCGACTGAGGCTGAGGACTGTTGGTTTGCGGACTCTGCGCGAGCAACGGTCGATCCGCTGCGGTCTAAACGGGACAACAGCGATGCGATTATTCGAACGATGATCGTACACCGAAAACATTTCTTAGCTTATTGCGCTTGCCTGAATCACTAAGAAACTGGTCGGTTGTACTGGTTCCGGTTCCGGCTGTTTATTCAAATTGATTAGATCGAATTCGCATTCGTCTTCCAACCAAGATGGCAACTCGAGCAACAGCGATATGTTCATTTCTTGAACTTCGCGAGGAGTAGCCAACGCCATTAAACCTGGATTTACCTGGAGCATGGCAACAAACACGCACACAGTTTATGGTAACCGATTCGATTCTGATTGTTCGAGAGATTATTCGAAAGATTATTCGATGAGAAACCTGGTTCAGACAAAACGCGCTGATGCTGTCCTGTTCTTTGTGAATGATACGAACGGGCTCGGGTAAACTTGTAGTTCCGCTGTCGCTACCCTTGTCTTCCGTTGTTGTTCCACGATTTAAATTGTCGATCGCAACCTGATTGTTCTCCAGTATGGACGACAACGACCTTCTTTTCCCGAATACGGCTCGAATGAATATGTCTTGCACCGATTCTTGTCTAACCAAGAAACACCAGAGTCGATTGGCCGGCGCTGCCGATGCTAGACGCGTACTAAATCAAATAAAACGGAAATGAAGGTTCGCGTTTCACCGAGATTCGGGGTGTGTTTCATTGCTCGATTCGATATATCATACTTGAACGGTGTATTGCCTTTCTCCAGTAGAGATCGATATTTGTGTATCGCCGGTTTGCCCGGCGTAGGTATCGGGTCGGGTGCACACCCAGGAATGTAATGAACCGGCGGTGGTCCCTTGTTATCTAATTCTTCGCGCAATGTTTCCTGCCATTGGGACACTACCGCCAACGTCCCATGAATTAACGGGCTACTAACGGGCAATTCTGGAAAAGAAGCAACTCACACTGTTACGAGGAACGCGCGCACGGCGCGTAGAATGTCCGTTAGAGTACCTTGCATCTCTATGCCGGCAACGTTCAAGAAATCCGAGAGTTGACGTTGCAGTATTTTCACTATAGCTAATCTCATGATGCACCAACTGTACGAGTTTGGGTTCGAATGCTCTGTATTGTCCTTTGGTTTGTTCTTTTGTTTCGAATTCGTGTCGAACACGTCCTCTTCGTCCTCGGATGAATTCATGTCGGACACGGCAGAGTCGGACGAATCGTAATCGATTTCATCCGCGTATTCGCTATCTATGTGCGGCTAAGTCGGTAAAGAGACAACGATTCGTCAGATCATCGATGAAAATGGCTGGTCGCGAAAGAGCATAAAGAGCATAATTTACCTTCATTAAAAAGTACGATATCATGCTCATTTGAGGCGGCACAAATTGTTCTCTGTAGGTAGGTTTGTCCTCTTTCATATTCGGTTGCTGACCAGTGAATTGGCCCAATAATTTCATATTCAACCTTACTCGCTGCTTGGTCAGCGATGTCATGGTATTCCATACAGCTCCCGCGGTAGTCTGGGCCTCGTTCGAGGTACCATCGCCGGATCTCTCCGTCGATCCTGTTCCCGTGCCACAAGCCTGAGCAGACAGAAAGGTTCGCTAGGAGGACTAAGAGCATGTGCTAGGATAGAGAAACGAGTGGAAGCGAGAGTACACTTCTACCTGGCTGCTCGTGCTCGCGACGCGCAATAATTTCTTAACGCCACCCCCGAACAAGCAAGACCAAGTACCGTTGTCGAAACTTTGTCCCACGAGTCTGTAAAGAATGTGACTGTCGCAACTCCAGAGAGCATAAACGAACAAGCTCATATAGGTCGCGACGAAAGCTTCGCAAAGAAGAATATTTAGTTTCGGCGTGTCCTCGTCTTTCTCGCGTGCCAGTAACGCGCGCAAATTGGTTACACCGGGCCACTTGGAGGGCGTCGTGTTGATGCAGACGCCGTCGTCCGTCGAGTATCGTCGATGATGTCGATTCCAGGCTACCAAGTGTCCACCGGAGAACGTTTCTATTTCAGCGACAGCTGGAAAACTAAGGAAACGCGGTCCAACTCGTCAGAGATTTCTCTATTATTATCTACGAATTCGTGACACTTGGAATACGCGTATCGTTTACCTGTCCGGTTGTTGATGTTTCATCACGAACGTGTCGGAATCGCAGAGCGACTGATAAATACAAGCACTCAGGGCAACCGCTAAATCCCTCATGATAAATACTTCGCTGTAATGCGTGTTTCTCATCGGCATCGGTGGTTTGCGCAATTCCACCAACGTTTGCAACATGTCGTGAGCGAGAGACTAAAAGGGAGTCTGTGTATTAGATCAACGAAGGTAGACACCATGCGGTACATAATGCGTTGAACGCGCGCGCGAACCTGCAGATGCCTGACCGGATCTGCCACGACCGTCTTATTGCAAGCTACACTGGCGCTCAACAGCGGAAGAGTGGTCGGGAACGGCAGCGGGCTGAGTAACTGTTGTTGCGTCTTTTCTTGTTGCAATTCTTGCAATAGAAGGACGAGCTCCATTCTTACCGATGCCAAGCCTCCACCCGATGCTCCGTGCAACGAGCAATAGGATAGTAATGTTCGTAAAAGAGTTTCGTTCGCTGAAACCGACGTTCGTTTATCGATATTTCTATTTATAAGGTGGATCGAACGACGCGATGTATACCTTTCAACCATTTCTTTCTTCGTACGGCTCTCTGTACCTTGGCTTCGAAATCTAATTTATCGGCTACCAGTATTTCGTGCAACGTCGGTTGTTCGCCGGGCCTGCTGTACGATTGTATGTCGTCCACCATGCCTCCACCTTCGTCTGGAAAGAACCGACGGCATTGCTCCGATTATTTTCAAACTGCGCACACGGTGTCGAAACGAACGAACACGTTCGGACGATTGAACCTCACATTCCGAAACGTTGCACGCGTCTCCGTCCGAGTTGGCGCTATAGCTGCAAAGTTGTCTAAGAGCGTCGACCTCCCGTTCGAGCCACACGTACAACTGGTATCTGAGTTGCCCACCGTCCACTTCGAAACCCGTTGCCAAAGTCGACAGCTCTTCCATTAGAATTTTTAAACAAGCCACGAATTTCAACTGTTGCGCCATAATGTCCAACGAACCACTCGACGATTTTCCAGGCTTCTCTGCGAATGTAGTTGAACGCAAAGTTGATTTTTCCGCAGCCCGCGCGAGGAATTTACTTACCATCCTTTTCCATCGACTTGCCGTCATCGGCTTCCTTTCCGTCTAGTTTCATACTCAACGGAGGACTGTCTGTATCGTTGTTTTCAGCCACATCGTCGTCCCAATTTAACACCAACTCCTCCTCCGCTTTATTGCTCACTGGTTGGGACCAGTCTATTCCGCCTAACGTACCTTCGTTGTCGTTGGTTTGCTTCGAATGATCGTCCCAGCTTATGATACCCGTATCTATTTGAGCGTCTTGTTTTCGGGACTTGCTCGGACTATTTAGCAAACCTTTGGAGCGAGATGAGCGGGAGTAGAACGGAATCGAAATACACTTTGAATAGAATTATTGTACACTTACTCGGCGAGTCTTCGCAATTGGTGTCCAGTACTTTGCTGGGTAACTTTGAAAGAACTTCCAGGGCGAGAGCAGGACAGCCAGCTTTGAAGTGTGCATGAGCCGTTGTAAAGTACAATTGTCTTTCCAACGGAGTAATACTGTCTTCCAACGTTAGTTGCTTGTCCGGTTGAGTTTTCGTGTCCGCGCCGTAACTAAATCCCGATATTACCACCGAATGTCCCTTTTTCTTGTCTTGGGCGGTGGACGCGATATATTGTCTGATCAGCAACGGATGCGTCCGAAGGTAGACGTAGAAGTTGAAAACATTTGGATTCGCTGAAACGATTAGAGAGAGAGAGAAAGAGAGAGAGAGAGCAAGCGTGTGTGCGTGTGAGAGACAGAGAAGGAGAAGGAGAAGAAGAAGGAGAAGGAGAAGGAGAAGGAGAAGGAGAAGGAGAAGGAGAAGGAGAAGGAGAAGGAGAAGGAGAAAGAGAAGGGAAGAGTGAAACGTGTACGAGGGTTGTTGAGAAACGAATTCGAAAAACGGTTTTCTCATTACCTGTCGCGCCCTCGGGTTTCTCGGATTCGTCGTTGTACTGCGGATGCAGAGTTCCGACGTTCGTCAAGAGCAACGTGTTCAGCGACCCTGTGTAATCTTTGAGAATCCAGAGCGCCATGCTGCGCAGGAACGGGTCCGGATGGAATTTGTTCACGTCTTGATTTTGCCCCTCCTTGTCGCACCCTAATATTTCCTCGTAGAGCAACCTCCTCATATTCGGAGAGGTGGTGTCGTCCTCGTAGAGTCTAGCGATCACCATGGCCAACTGAATGTCGTTCAATTTGTGCAGACACACGTCGATGGCGTCCTTGAGCGCACCAGCCAGGAGGAAAAAGGCGGCGGCGTGTTCGAACCTTTGCTTGCCGAGCAAAGCGAACGCGTTCTTCAAGGCCGCTTTCCTCCAACGATCTTCCGAGAAATTGTTCGCGAAGAAGCTGGTCATTCTGTCGTCCCTTTTATTTCGAAAGAGTCCCCAAACGAGATTTTTCTTTTTCATCGCGAGGTAATAGAGCGCGGCGTCCAGAGGGTCTTGTTTCTCTTGATAGGCCGCTTTCGCGATCTTCTCGACGCACCGTTTCAGCGCGATGTTGCTCCTGATCCACCAGCCTACGCCCAGTTCTTTCAACACGCTCCACCTTGGCTGACCCTTCGCGTAGGAAGGTATCAGGCCGAGCAGTTCCTCCTCGGACTCGGAATGGAATGCCCAGACGAGATTGTTCGAGGATATTCCTTGCTTCTGGAACTGTGCTCTCTGAGCCAGTGGAAGGCAACGAATCAAATAGTTGTAATGCTTCATGGCCAACAGAAACCGGAGGCCACAGTCGTCCAACGAATCTGTCGAGACAGTTTCTCCGTCAGGGATGCCGGTCAAGTTTTCTTTCGCGATCGCGTTCTTCGCGGCATCTATCGCGAAACGCTCCGCGAAATCCACGTTACAGGTCGACACGGTATCGGCCAGAGCGAGCAAATGCATTTGATCGAGACTCGAGAGGCCGGGCAAGTGGGCGTGCGTCAACAGTCGTGACAACAATCTGCCTTGTCTTGGCCCAAAGTGAGATATCCCTTGTCTTTCCGGGACCGAGGAACGTCTGTCCTTTTGCCGCGAGCAATCGTAATCTTCTTCCAGCATGTCGTCCAACGACTCACCTTCGTCCAAGTTACTATCGAACAGCTCATTGTAATCCTGTTTGTCCTCTGCCTGGTGATGATGCGGCAGATTCGTCTCCTTGTCCGCGATCAGTAGCGTCCAAAGGGGCAACGGAGATATCGAGGTGATCTCCGCGTAATCCAACGTGAGCTCCTCCGGAATCTGCGTGGTCGACCCTCTGGGCTCGAGAGGCGACGTGGTACCGACGTAACTGACCGACATGGTCCTCGTTCGGGACCAGCCGGTACCGCCGCCGCCGCCGCCGCCGCGTTGCTTCGTACTGTCGTCGTCTGCCCTCAGGGGGCAGGAGCTTCCTATGCACCTGACCAAGTGCGCCAATATCGCCTTCACCCAACGGATTTTACCAGAGTTGAGCAACTCCATCAGTTGCTTCGGATGATACTGTGGCAGGACCGGACACGCGATCCGCGAGGCTTCGAATAGACCGTAGTCCGGCATATAATCGAAATTCAGGTTCTCATTTTGCATCCCTCGCTTCTTCTTCGCGTCGAGCATCGACAAGTTGATGCTACTGACGCGAGACAGGTGCGGCATCGAGGAGACGTTCGCTAATCGCCTCTGCGAGGTCTCGTTGGCCAACGTTCGTAGATCCTCGTCTCGCAAGTTCCGACTCGCCTGGAACTCGTCCGACTCTTGATGCTGCAGATTCGAGTGGAAACACTCGTTCTTCGGATTCGGCTTCCATTGCGAGTAAACGTGCATCTCCGAATCCATGCCCACCACCAAGATCCCGTCCCTCACCCAAGAGATTTGCATGGGCAAAGGTGGAAGGCCATCCGCCGTGGTCAACTCGATCTTTCGCAGTTTCATCCAACGAATCTCATCGACGAATTGCGGCTGTGCCAACGACGAAGCCTTCCGCAATATCGGTCGATTGTTACTTTGCGACTCCTTCATCGCTTTCATATTGGCCTGCGCGAGATCGGAGCACACCGGCGTGAACAGCATAATCTTTGACCCGACGGCGACGGTCAAAATATGAGATCCGTCTTCTTTGGACACCCAGTCCAGCTGTACCAAATGCTTCTGCGTGAGCGGGCAAGTGTTGCCGTTCTCTATGATCGATTTTCGCAGGGACTGAAGAGTACTGAACGAGGGAACCGCCAATAAACCTTTCGATTTATTGGCTTTGTTAGACGTACGTCTTTCTCGTCGCGCATCGGTTTCAAGAGAAACAAACGTTGAACAACAACGATCGTTCGTTCTACTTACCTGCGTTCGATTTCGTGCTTTCTCCGTTATCGCTGTTCCGCGGCGATCGTACGTCCTCGTGACTGAGCGTTTGCAACACTTGAGTCAACCTTTGCTTCTTCTGTAGAAACCTACTGTCGTAAAGGTAGCTCAAATCCAAGTGCTGATCCACTGGAATTCTCGGCAAGTGTATGTTCTTCAAGTGTATCGTGTCCTCTAAAATCCACTCGCTACCACCAGTGCTCTCGCACTCGTAAATAGCTACGCAAAGATTCACGTACCGCGAGTCGGGATCGCTCTTGGTTGGTCGCGTGAACGATTTCCCGTATTTGTACGCGCAAGCGATTCGGCCGCTGTACGCGGCGCTTATGTTCAACGGTTGCCCTGAAACAGGTCGCGAAGGTAGTCGAGATTTCCCTTTCGTTTCCTCGTGCCGTTTCTGACACGGGCTGACGTTCGACTAGAATACAATGCTCACCCGTAATATCGATCGTCGATTCTTGATCCTTTCGCAACAATTCCCATTCGCACCATTCGTAATGAAGCTTCTCGTCCGACTGATTCTTCGTCACTTTACATTTCCAAAAGCGTATCGTGCTATCGCTGCACGCTGTTACTATAATGTACGGTGCGAAACAAGCAGGATATATGGAAGAACTGCTCAAATGACCAGCGGCCGGTGCTGCATGGATCACCTGCGAGCAACGAGTCCGTTCAGAAGAGGCGAACGAAACGGGGAAATATTCTGTACATCTACCTCGACTCCGTCCGGTAGCGGTAATTCCTGAGTACAAGCTTTCGTGGTGGTGATGCGAACGTGACTATTCTGAGGACGCCTATGAAAGAACGCGTCGAATTCACCTTGACTATCTCGACGCGTTTGACTCGGCCTGCGAGATCTTTTACCCTCCGAATAGATGTACCTTCCAGGCGTACCCCCCTCCTCCTCCTCGTCTTGTACCAAATGCGAATCTGGTACGTACATCATCGATCCCGACAGCCCTACAGGAACAACGTATACACATATTAGCCTATTAGTGCTGAAAAACACGACTCTTTACGAGCATTTCACCGCGTTGTTAAATTCAGTACCAGTGGTCTCTGGCTGAGAGGCTATGATCAACCGCCACATGTGTACCGTCGTAGCGTGTTGCGTTCTCTCTAGAACTACTATGTAGAACGGTTCTTCGAAAATTGCGGATTGCTGCAAATCTACCATAGCGTCCAGCGTAGACTCCATTAAACCTAAATCGTTTGCCGATGTGTTCACACCGGACGATTTTTCATCGTTTCTATCCCCTGTGATCAGTTGTTCTTGAAATACGTGTAGAAATTGGGTGTTTTGCCAGTCCTGTATTCGGAAAAATGATTGTCTCGTTGATACAAGTAGATTCAAAGGCAATTTCGACCGGCTCAATTCCCACTCACATGCGTCGCATCGGCGATAGCATCCAGTTGTATGACGCATCCGGGTCTCGCCGTTGATTGCTGCGACACTATCTTGATCCTATCGTGAATCGAATGCCTGATACCATCGTCGGACGATATGTCCGTCGAGAGGCTCGACATTGAATCCTGTGGCGCGAAAGATAACAAACGCGAATGTACAATCTCTGTATATCTGTTTCATTAAGATTTCTCTTACCATCATTCTGCTTCGCCTTTCGCTGCTCGACACCTCTGCCAGGAGCGTTCTGGCGTCGATCACTGCTTGATAAACTCTTAAACACTCCCCGTCGCTAGCAACGAAACACGCGCTCGGAGAATTCGATAAATTACCCAAGGTGGTGCTCGGTAACAATGTTGGAATCCAAGCCACGTTACTGAACGCCGAAATCTCGGGAGAATTGATACGCGCCAATTCCGAAACTCCACCGCTCTTCGATAAAGGTCCAACCGTATCTACCCGCCAAAGTATCAACTCGCTACAAAACCCCTAGAACCATGCGCAACAACATTTGTGGATTCGAGAATTTCAGTCACTCGAGCCCCGGTAAGCGATTCTCAAGAGTACAAAGATCGGCTGAAATTTCTGCACTTTTACTCACGGTAGGCGACATATCTTTCGACGACATTTTCCCGGAAGCTAATCCAGACTTGCTGCTCGCGCTTTCGTTCGAATCGATAGCTTGACATTGAGGCGCGGAACATTCCGGTATATTGTGATGCGAAGTCGTCACCAACAACGGTAAAACTGGGTGACACGTAATATCGTTCACTCGAAAACGATGTCCCGATGCCCTCGATGCATGTCCGATACTCAATACCTATTATCGAACGAAAGATAGAAAGAAACGAATAAACGAATCAATCCGGTGGAAAACGATCGATTTCTTACTTGCGAGAACTTGGTTCGATCGGCGAACGTCAGTTGCCATAAGTTTAACGTTCCGTTCGAATGCTTCGATACCATGGAAACAATTGGACTAGGATGCGCTAATAGATCGTTGACCGTTTCCTGATTCGTCTTGCGAGTCTCCGTATGGCCTTCTCTTTCTTTTCCCGAAGCGTTCTGACCGGCTCGAGGATCGGACGTGTTTTCGATATTTTTCAAAAGTTCTTGACCCGCTTTCGACGTTAACGTCGACTGCTCTTCGTCTTGTTCGATTAGACTCGGTAACGGTGTTGAGATTTCAGCACCTGTACCGCGACAACACACGATGATATCGTTGGTAAGTCGAAAAGCTTGACGAATCTTCAAATTTCGTCTCGAGAACGATACTACTTACCGTCGTTGGATGTTTTCGTCGATGATTTTGCTACTTCGCGGATGTTTAATAGAGGGCCGCCGGTATTATGAGAGTACATCGATACACTCTGACTCATCGTCGAGGCATCGCCAAGCGGGAAAGCATTAGGTATTCGCGTTGAAAATGATATTTGTGCTTGCCGAAACGATCCCGGATGGTATTCGTCCAACCACTCGATATGCCAAATTAAGAAACTTCCATCGATCGGATGAATCGAGAAAAGTAGATCCGGATTATGATGCCAATCTCGTAACAACGTTTCTATCGTAGTGTCCAACGAATCCGGAGCATGATTCATCGAAGACGTTACGTCCGTTGCGATCGAGTTGATAGACGTGGTATTACTGAGAACATCAAATATCGGATATATCAAATATAAAACACTGAAAAGTCGCGTTAAACGTGAAACGTCTAACTGTAAACAAATAAACTTGTTGCTTGTTCGATTAATGGTATACACCTAAGACTTTGATGCGAATGTACGCTGTGCGGTAAACTATGATGCGATGTGTGATGCTCGTCGCTACTGTGATCTTCTTGGCTGATCGATCGAACATTTCGATCGCTTGCTGGTTTTTGCACGTGTTGCAATCGTACTCCTTTTTCTATAATGATACGCTCAATTAATTAGTACCGCTGCTCTTACGCGTATTACGTGCAACAACCGAATAAATGAAAAATAGCTTACTCAAGGGACCTTCCTCTTCGGAATCGTGATCTGCATGCTCCATTTCCTGATGATGCAATCCTTCCTCTTTCTCCACCACTTTGCGAGTGAGTTCTTGTAAAATACTTTCCGCTTGCAGAGTAAAGTGCATTTCCTTATTGTTCAACCAGTGAAGAATAAAATTTGGTTCTCTCTCTGGATCTCCGGTAATTAAACTTGGTACTAACGGTATATCTACGACACGGGGGCAGATTTTGTTAATGTATCGTGGGAAATGCAATACGATGGAAGAAGAAAAGTGTCTTTACTGAAACACGTTGTTAATATCTCACCAGTTTCTGCATTGATACTAGCTGCCAAGTGAAAATGCATTCCCGGATAGTGACCAGCACCTTGATAATTATTGTGAAAGTCGTGTACGGAATACGTTGAAGGTAAAGTTGGCAATGTCGGAGCTGTAACGTGCCCCGCCTGATGTTGCTGCTTTGCGTGTCGACGAATATGAAAGCACGTTCTACGCGACAAGTAGATTCTCCGTAAGGAGCAATGTCACACTGAGATCTAAGTCCATGAAATAACACTTTACGTACTTCATGTGTTTCAATCGCTGCATGAATCGATGTTTGTGCATATTATGATGCCGATGCTTTCCATGATGACCGTGTCTGTCGGAACCTTCGAATTGACTCATATTAGCTAAACCTTCGACCTCCGGTGGTATCGTTTCGGCCCACACTCGGCATATATTATCCCTACACGATGTCACCAGCATGTTGGAAACAGAACCTCTAAACAAAGAACAAAGAAGAAAGAAAAGAGAAAGAAAGAAACGATCAGAGGATACATTAAAAAGAGTAAAATATTCATTTATATTGGAAACACATTCCCTATATCGACCGTCGATATTACTAAGAATTATTCATTTCTATAAGAACGGTACATACTTTGGCATATATTTGCTAGTCTTGCGCCATGATAAGTGCGTGACTGCACGTGGATGAGCAACATAAACGAAACTGTAACTATCGTTGCCAGTGGATTGCGAAACGTTTGGATTGTGATCCATATTCCTCATCGAAAATACTAAACAATTTGAATAAATTCGTGAATAACGATGTCAGATATCTGATTTCAGTTGGATACACGGACATCTTACATTGCTTGTTTTCGAACCAAATCTTCACTAATCTATCGTTGAAGCCCGTAGTTGCAAATAATGTGCCGTCAGGGCTGAAACTCATAAGATGCACCGGCGTGGCAGTGCGACACTTCCAAACGCAATTCCAAGTGCCCGGTTCGTTTCCGTTGGTCGAATCTCCAGGCGCGGGACTGTCTGCTTCTCCGCCGATCGAAAAAGTGACGGTGCCAGCTAGGAACAGTTGCGTATTTTGTTAGGTTGTTCTGCATTCGTTTCGAATGAAATGCGTCGTATAGAATTCATACACTGCAAGGATTCTATTTCGCTGTGATATTATTAAGAAATCTCGTTCTGTTCGTAAGGGTGATTTATTCGCGCTAGAAAAATTAACTTCAGGAGAACAAATGTTATTGCAGCAACTTCCTTTGGCCAGTGAATTACAATAGTAAAAATATTCGAGTACAAAGCAGAAATCTCTAGTGTTTACCGAGCCCCCAATGCGCAAAGGCCGATCGGTTTCCATGAGTTAGCAAGCGGAAAATCATTTAGTTTTGATCAGTTCAAAACATAGCTCACAATATTTGCGGAACTCGTAATCAGTGAACGTGTAATACTACATTCGAACTACCGAATTGGCAATTAAAATTCAGAGAGTTAGCTTTTCCTATTTTCGCATCGCAAAACAAACTCACAGTCTGGAAGAGCGTTCAGAGTACTTTCTTTTCTTCCGGCAGCAATGGTTTCTCCCATTTGCGACACATTCACCTTTGCTGTTGTACACAATGTAACCATTTTGACTAACGATAAGGTTGTTTTCATTTCCATTGAAAGATTCAAACTACCGCTCGATGCTAACTATTGCAATACATAATTTCTATCGAATAAACGAAAGATGCTTACTATGTTCTTCTTGAAACGGAGTTATATTTTGATGCCATAATTGCAGAAGTTCTCCTCCGGTTAATAACCTTGTCCCTTCTAAATTCCATGACAGAGAACTAATGTTCGATTCCGTTTGTAAACTACCGGTTTGTACCCATCGGTATTCCAATTGCTGCAGATTATTTATGAAAAAGAAAAAGAATCGACGTACAGATCGCAAAGCATGATAAAGGTAAGCGTACATAACGTATAATGTATAGGTATATGAATTCGATACAAACGTGAGAGCAAGTGCTATGGATTAACGGCGTCGGCTCGAAAATGCAGACTTGATTTTCATAGGCTGCTGCTATTTTCCCTGTATCTGTACTGCAATCTAAGCAACTAATCCTTATATAATTGTGCACAGCTCCTGGGATTATTTGAACCCGTTCAAAGTTACTGGCAAGGATTACAATGTTGCAGCCTGCCGCGTATGCCTGTGTCAAACGATACGTTACAATATAAGAGTACGATCTAAGCATTCTTGATCAAGATAAACCAACGGTACGCGACTAGCAATTAACAATTTCTTCGAACGACGATAATAATAGAGAAATAAGGTGGAAATCTTGAACAGTTAGGGACGTTGGAATATATTTTGTAAATGATTATTTAGCGAATATAGAGGGATATCAAGAATGTCGAAATAGTATACGAGTAATGAAATTCATTGATACGAAAATAGACGTTCTTAAAATCGAAATAACCGCGTACAGACTAATTGAACGAAAACGAATACTTACAGTAAAAGAAATGCCCTCGACGGAACCGACGGCGTAACAACGATCTCCTGCATTACAGGCTCCGCTTAATATTTGATGACAATTCATATTTCTTCCGGAAAACTAGTTCATTCTCTTCGAATCTGTGATTTTTCGATCAGAAACGTTGCTCGCGACAACGAAAGTCAACGGTTTTTCACAGATTTCTTTAGCTATAAAGTCGTGACGTTGTTCGATCAGCGGCCATCTTTAAATGGATTCCCACAGTCCGTCACATTACCGCAAGAGAATCGTGTCGTCACTGATTTCGAGAAATAGCGAACGATTCAAAATGTTGCGCGCAATTTCAGCACTTATATTTAGCCACGCACTTACGCATTATGCATACACGATAGTCCTAATATACCATAATAGATAAGAAGAATCAATTCAAATGAGAAGAAAGGAAATGAGAAATTCTATCGTTTCGTAAACGTTTCTAACAAGTGATTCGAACGTCTGAAAATTTCATGAACTTTTGGGTAACAGCATTAAACGATTCGTTCAACGAAGTGCTACTTGTTTTTATTTAAAATCTTGTATATATCCGAAACATCGAAAATAGAAGATAAGTTTTCATTCGGAAAGTTGACAAAGCATCGCAACTCCTCTCATTATCCAGTGTTCCGGTGGTTTGGCGGTAGGCAGAGTCATAGCGATCACAAAATTGGTCGAGTGTCCTGTAGTTGACAAAACTCCGCGTCGCTCGCTGGTTTTATATACCGGACAAAGATAGCTGTTTCTTCCTTTAACGTTCTCTTTCTTCCTAGGAATTAACCATATCTGAAATGAAATTGAGAAAATAGTTGGATATTAAAATAGTTGGATGGAGATGAACCGAAGCGGAAGAAAGAGAAAGAAATGCGATACGAATGGCATAGAAGTTTGTGTAATGGATCTACCAAAGGAACATTCTCGTAGAGCACTTTGGGATAAGCTTCGTCCAGAGTCATATGTTCGACGTTGAATCTGGCACCGTCTAGAAACAACCCATACACGTAGACTCCATCCTCCGGATGCGAGAGGTCGGCGCTGTGTTTCTCCTTCAGTACGATAAAGTCAAAGAGTAACAGATCTATAGGTATTTGGTATTTTCTCGCGTAGTTTTGTCGACTCCCGGTAAGAAATGCTTGAGTGAAATAAAATCCAGAGATCCAATAACTGCTCGGCGATCCGTCTTCGTACCATTTCTGTAGGTGTCGAGGGACAATTAAAGATGCGCGTAAACAGATTCTATTAACGACAGGAAGAAAAATACTATATCTCACGCGAAAAAAGTCCAAGCGACGCAATAAATCGTGAATATAACTGCCGAGAGGTTTCAAAGACGGATAAGAGTGTTGTTTCCATAACTCGGGTATCCTGCTGGTCAATATCGCATCGTAAATACCCTCGAGTTCAAGAGACATTGCGACGAAACCTAGAAAAGATATTGAATCATCGATACGGATATCGTTCGGAATTGGAGCGTACGCGTGCGGACGAGTAGAACCGATCGAAACCTTTAATGGCCCTTTGAATATTTTCCAGACTGATTCGAATGCAGCGAACCAGTTTATTAAATCTACCCATTTCTTGCACCAAAACGGTATTCATGCTTTGCTCGTAGGACGTTGGGTATCTTTCGAGCGCCAGTACCAGATCGAATTCGGCCGGTAGTCTATGTAGAATATCGCTCGCGATGCCGCACGTTATTTCGTCGTTCAATGTTTGTCCAGTTCCTGATTTCACTGCTTCCTGTTTCGAATTACATATATTCTTTGTTCAGTTACTAGAGAAGTCGTTGTTACCAGAGTGCATCGTTGCGACGAGCTGTTACTTTGTGTGCGCATATACCTACTGTTATTATATTATATTAAGCACATAGAACACTAACCTTTTGCGATTGCCAACGATCCTACGCATCCAGTGAAGATGCAACATAACACTTTGAAAAGTTAATCGTTCAAAGGCGGAAGAAATAGTAATCGCGAATCAATTTTTATCGATAGTCGCGCTATTACATTACAAAAGAACTTTATATAATCGGAGGTCGCTAGAGTTCCTAGGTACACATTACGCGATACCGTAACAACTTTATTACATTAACTTTGGTTAATGTATACTTTGCTTACTGCGCGGACAAATCGTTCGACCGTTCGAAACAATGAATTAATTAAGCAGAGCATATACGTACCACGCGGTCCTGTATGCCGACCAGGCGTCGTAACAATTAAATAGAAAACAGTAAATGTAACGATTAAGTTTCGAAAATATTCAAACTGCTCGGAGAAAAGAAGAATTTCAAGGCAAATTATATACCTGTGTAAGTAGCAGGGATGAGAACAGAATACTCGTTTCTTGCTGATCCTTGATAATGTCAGCGTTTTCATTCATACCAAAAACACTGGGTTTAGCGATTAAGGGCAAGTTTTTTGTATATTCGAGAAACGCTTCGTGTTCTCGAACATTCGGGCAATAATATTCGTTCGAGGTATCGTCGAAGTAGTAAACCTCGTCGGTGAGTAATTCTCTGAAATAGTATTGAAACGATGAAACAACAAACAAACAGAGGAAAGAGAGAGGGAGAGAGAGAGAGAGAGAGAGAGAG